CCCCCCGAAGTTCACTTGTTTATTGCAGATTCGGGGTCCTCTAGGGTAGCGCAGCACAACCCCGCATTCAAAAAAAAAAAAAAATCCTTGCTGTGTTTTTTCGTCGCCCGGTTTCGCCGGGCGGCGGCCCAGCCCAGGCAAAGACCAAAAAAATTAAAAACTGATGATGAGAGATTGTTTCGTCAGAGTTGCATGTACTCATCAGGAGGCTGAGTCCTCCACAATCTGTGGAATGTTCCTTGCTGAAGGCCGACTGTCCACAAATGGAACATAGCAGCGGGCAACAACTCAACGAAGCACCAGGCAATGCTGTCGAGGCGGCACAACTGCACAACCGCCAAAACCAAGTGCATGGACAACACAGCAAGTGGACAAGCAGGCCGGCAGCAGGGCAGTGGCGGCATACAAGCAAGGAGCACGGAAAGCAAGACATGCAGATGGGCAGCAAGGCGAAGCAAGCAGGGTGTGCAGCAAGGCAGTGGAAGAGCGCAGACAAGGCAGTCTACACATGCAACGCGGAGCAAAGCGGCAAATCACCTACTCACATCACGAGTAAACCCCGCAGACTGTTGGTTCCCGCCTACTGCTGAGCCAGGAAGGCACTCCAACGAATGTCCATCATCACCCATAAACCATATGCACAACACAGGCATCACAGACAGAGCGCCCCCTTAAACCACCAGTACTTGGCCCATACATCGGCCGCGGGCCCTTAGCGTTAACGCTACGCAAATTTCGCGGCCTGCGGGCCGTGGATAATTCACATCAACAGCCCATGTCGCTTCGTCGACCTCCGAGGGCCGGCGCGCAGGCTCGGCATCGATAGCTGGGCCAAGTACTGGTGGTTTAAGAGTTCTGCAGGCGCTCCAAGCGCCAGACCACCGACTATTTAGCACTTCTTGAAGGTTCTCACCCAGACACAAAAGGTAAGAAGAAATCAAGAAAGGGGAAATATATACGTACATAAGAATGATTGTGTGCCTGTGCCTGTGCGTGTGCGTGTGCGTGTGTGTGTGCATGCGTGCTCATTGAGCTTCTTAATTGAGGTCATTGGTTGCCCAGGCTCTGCTCATGTTCAGGGAGTTCTTTTGCTTTGTTTTGTTTTCAGGAGCAGCACCTACTGGCAACGGGGGCACTCATGTTCTATTGGTGAAGAGGGTAAGGGAGGATAGATTTATAGCCGACAAAGTTCTCCCACTGAGCTTGGACAAAAACAAAAGTGGTCAGATACATCCAGGAAAGCCCAGGTATGAGAATGTGTCGAAAGTCGAAACTCTGATCAGTAAGGAACAGAAATGGCCAGTGGGAACCCCGGGTCTAGATGACCTCTGCTCCTGTTAAGTCGCCAGTCCATCGGAAGCTAAATTGACGAATCAAGAGTTGCATTATTCCGAGCCTAGAATCTACAATGGAAGCCTTTGAAAAACATCTACTGGTGCCCCTTGCCACAAGCCTCTACCAGGCCCGGGCACTGTAGATTTTGGCCATGCACTTGTGTATGAGCAAAATCTGCAGTGCCGCCTGCAGATGGACTGGTGGTTTAAGTGGCCTGAGTGGTTGTATACCTGAGTCGCACTCAAGAGGTGCCGGGTTCAAGGCCCGCTCAGGTAGCACGATGGATTTGCAGGTCCCGACCCAGTAGACCAATGAGGGCTGGGACATATTGCTGTTGGAGAAGATGTGTAACCCCAACCTCATAATTGCAGACAATAGCAATTAATGATAGTTCAACTATCAATTCCATATAAGAGGCCAGTTTTTGCTGGATAGACAGGCAGCCTAACCTTGTGTTTACCCACTTTTTTTCTACTTTCGAAGGAAGTTATCCCCTAGCATTCTACATCAGTATTTGAATCCATGATCTGTTTATACTTGCTTTTTTTGGAAGTATCATCACCTAGTTTTCGCCTACACTGTCTTTTTTACCATGGCAGGTACTGCGGAGCAGCTGTGGTTTTAGCAGCGAATGCAGGCGGCGCATGGACCCCGATTGGTGATGTGACAACAAGTATGTTATGGATCAACGGTCAGATCTCCGCCATGAAGATCATGCAGGTGTGTTCATATGTGAAGGAAGAGGCTTATGTGTGTGTACAATGATCGGGGATTGCTGGTGTGCGTGTATTTTAGTTTCAAAAAGGCGTCTGCTGGATGGAATTCCACAGGTCGTATCACCCTTTTCCATAGAGTCTCCCACGCAAAACGATTGCAGCGAAGAATTGACTTTCAACGTAACACTTCGTTGACGGGTAAGGTAGAAAGAATCGAATATGATCCAAATCGTTCCTCTTGGATTTCTAATACCTACAGCGGCTCCAGCTAATGCGATTGTTGCACAGCCTGCTCCAATTAATTTTGCACCTTCTAACATAGCGATCTTCTTTTTGTTTGTATCAAAACAAAGACCATTTATCGTTGATTACCCAAATCGCCGATTTTGTCAAAATCAATGCGGAAGAGGCTCGCCAACACTTCCTTCATTCGTGCCTCTGCCAATCCTCAGAAGCGATGATATGATATTATACGTGGCGTTTCTTAGGAGGACTTGAAAAATGGAAAATTACTGAATTAGGTTTAGTCTTTGTGACTTTCTACTAAATAGATAAAAAAGAATAACAATAATATTCTCTTTTTGATACAATTAATTTTTTTATTGATTATTTAATTCAGAATAGTCAAATGACAAATAAATTAAATATATAAGGTATGTTTAGACTTTGTTTCAATTATAACAAAAAAAAGAAAAAAAGAGAAAGGTACCGGAAAGACCTGGAAAAGACGGACGGACTGCTTCGCAATCATTCCTGTCATAGTCATAGGAAGTTGTACCAACGCCAGAGTTACAACAGTACTACAGGGCAATTCCCAAATCCAAGTCGTTGGTACGAGTCTCATTTAGTACATCATCAAAAAAGCTCTCACAGTCTCACATGTGACACACACTACTCTCCCAGTCCCACACAGCCTCAGTGTTGTATCAGCACTATGCAGATGGGTCTAGAAGCCAACCTCGTACAGTACATAATGCAATCGGGCACATAGTCCAAGCTAGTGATGGGCTGGTGCTTTTTCCCATTGGGATGCCGCCACCTACCCTATGAGCATGTCTGTCGCGTGCATGTAAGTATGCCAAAGTTTGAATTCAATAAAACGTCGAACGGTCTGACGTTGTCCAGGTCCATTGACCTCCAGCAGTCATTGTCCGTCATCCGTCCAAAACTGCTCCCCAATCCTCGTGGGTTGTGCAGATGAACCTTCATGGAATTGACAATCTGTGATCTTAAGTGTGGGGGAGTATAAGCTAGATGATTCTGTCACCATGGTGCTTCAGGACCCACCGGGTGATGGGTCGTTAGAGATGGATGCAAGCGACCAGGCCCCCTCTTAGGACGTCTATACTATGATCGCACCCGTCTCTTCCCCACAGCCTCAATGATGGAGATTTTTAGAAAGGGGGCAAACGAAAAGGAAGACCGGGTGGATTGGAAGATACAAGGGATAGTCATTAGGAGCTGGAATATTAATGGGCTCGGAAATATTATCGACAATGAAGAAAAAATGCAAAATATAATCAAAGGTCTTACCATTCACACAAACAAACTGGCAGATACCATACTGCTACAAGAAACTCACATTACCTTCTCAACAGAACACAACAAAATTCGGAAACTCTTATCAAGGAAACTGGGAGGTTTGAAAGATGAAATATGGTCCTCAGACAATACAACAAGTACGAAAGGTACATCCATCCTTATACCCAAGCCATTCCGCTTATACACGGCTAGGTCGATATTGGGCAAAGAGGCGGACACGGTAGGAGGTAGGTGGTGCCTTATGGATGCAAAGTGGAAGGACGAAGAGTTCATAATAATCAATGTTTACTCACCGAATAACCCTTCAGACAGATCAACTTTTATAACAAACATCAGCCATCTGATTCCCCCTTTATCGCCCTGTATTTTGGCCGGTGATTGGAATGCAACTATAGACCCCACCACGAATCGCATATCTAGGTCTGCGGCTGGTCAGCATACACAAGAGGCGGTGCCCATCAAAAAGTTGGTGATGGACTACAATCTAATTGAATCATACCGGACTTTGCATTCAGGGACAAGAGCCTTCACATTGGTTAAAAGAACCATGCCCACCATACCGCTTTCTCCTTCATTGACTATTTCCTGATTTCGGGGACACTAATGGGGTCCCCAAAAGCGTCGAGGTCCTGGCTCTCGCACTATTCCCGGGTCTGGATGACAAACCCATCGAACTAATAATCAGCTTCAAACAGTATGTTAAAAAGGGGTCCAGCTTTCACAAACTCAACAACTCCCTCCTACTGAGCTGGAATTTTCAAGTAGGAGTTCAGGATTGTTGGCAAAATTTAAAGGGCACCTACCTACCCATATAGGATCAATGCGAGTGGTTTCAGAAAGCTACTCCACATTATCACATACAGTAGCTAAAATGTCAAGGAAATTAGCGGCCGACAGGAAACAGAGGAAGCAAGCATTGGAAACAGCCCTGAAGATCGCAGAGACAAATCTGATCGACAACCTCTCTTCGTCACTCTACATCATAGCTACGCCTTTTCGGACACCGGACCGAATCCGGACCCCGGACCCCGGACACCGGACTTCCCAGGCCCATCTGGACTTCCAGAACCCCGGAATGTTTCGGGATATCCGGACAGGTCCGGATCCCCGGTCCGGATTCCGGTTCGGATCCCCTAGACTGTCCGGGGAAAAAAAAAAACAAAAAAAAAAGCGATGGTATATGGCAACATGCTTACAGTACCTGAGTGACTGTTGTGCTGCATGCTGTCAGGAAATTGAGCCCTGGGCGTTCAAGTCAACGGCTTGCTCTCTAACTGCTATCCAATCTCTCATTCAGTGCGCCAAGGGGACCCGCTGGCTCCCCCAATCTTCCTCTTCGTTATGGAAGCAATAGTGTCATTCCTACGCAAAGACCCCTCCATACACAGACTACCAGAGGTCAATGTAGGATCAACCCACCACTTACAGTTCCCGATGGTGATAATGTTTGCAGACGATCTCACGGTCCTCATAAGAGCTTCAGACTCGTCACTCAACGCATTAGTAAGAGCAATGGAAGTGTTCAGACTTGCATCAGAAATAAAAATTAATTGGAAGAAAACAATCAGCTGGTGGCTATCGTCGGAGGAGGTTCCCCAACGTCTAGGCCCTGAGGCAGACATGACATGGGAGACACCGGAGACACCTACGCGATATCTAGGCATCTTGCTGACAAAGGATGGCCTCGCCCCTCAAATGGCCCACAATATACTCGCCAAACAAATCAACAAACTGGGCAAATGGGGTAATACATTCACATCATTACTGGGGCGTGCACTAGCCATTAATACATCTATTTTTTTTATGATGTGGTACATAGCGTCAATCTGGACCGTTCCAGACCATACGATCAAGGAACTTTTTTTTTTTTTTTTTTTTTCCTTTTTTTAAAAACAGAACCTCTTGGTTCTGGCCCCTGCCATTCTGGGGAGCAACAGTCCGGTTCCTATTCCCCCGGCAAGTCAAGTATAAATACAATGAAAACACGCTCACGCTACTCCCCATTATGGTTGAGAGGCCCGAGTGGACGGCATTGATTACTTCCCTAAGGGAAGGATATACCACCCCTCACCCCTGCCTAAGTTAGCCTATATCCACTATCTTCTGATCCTCTGAGACACCTAGCTTCTAGCTCTTTCCACTGAGTGTTGTCTGATAAACCTGAATGCTAGCCTATATCCACTATCTTCTGATCCTCTGAGACGCCTAGTGCCGGTCAAGCTCCCTTTGCTGCCTCATTCTCAGCCACTCCAGCCTTTTTGCCTCCTTTTCGATGAGATCGTCACTGCCCAGGATTTTGGCAACCTCCGTCGACACTGGCGATTTGGATGCACTCCTTCCACTCCAAGAGAGAGTCGATCTGCCACTCCCAAGTCACACTGGGCTGCCGGGACTTTTGGCCTTCTCATTGTTTGGGTCCTGTAGTTCGCGTTGAATAATCTTATTTCGGTCCAGCAGCAGCTTCTGCAACTTTTCTCTTTCTGGCCTCAAGTTGTTGACCCTTATCCTGTTCTTCCCTGTTTTTTCCTTCTTCGGGTGCACCAGGTTTCGCTTAGCTCAGATGTCTTTCCAACATTGTTGCCACCTGATTCCGCCTGCTGGATTCTGAGTTATGCCAATCCTTCCAGAGTAGCCTATCATCCCGAAGTTCCGCCACCTTGCCTTCCAACATCCATAGCCTGCTGAATCTCTTCCTGGCCTTATCTTGTAGGTCCTCGTCCTCCGGCATCGACCGCCTCTGTCTCAACCATCTGCTCCGGATTTCTGCCTGCAACAAGGTTTTTGTTTCCTTCCACACCTTTTCTCGCGGGTTGGAAAGACCTTCAATGGTTCTGCCACATCTTTCCTTCCAAATGACCCAAAGTCTCACTTTCCTGATCAATCCAAAACCACAGCCGTTCTGTCTTTTGAGATGGTCAGGCAGGTTAGTCCAGAGAAGAAGTTGGATGGGATGCTCGGGGAAGGGCGTTCTAAAGAGCGAGTCCCATAGAGCTGATGCCCGTGCCGTGCATTCCGTGGCTTCACTGCAATAGAGTAGGCAACGTACTATGTCTTCCTGATTCCCTCCGGTGCAGACCGTGCATAGGTTCGAGCTGCTTGGATCGTTCTTATGATGTCTTGTATGTAACCATTTATTGACCGGCAGTGCGGCATATGTGATAAGCCACTGAAGGCTT